CCCGAATACGGCCATCTACCTCGCCTCGTGAATCATTCCGGCGCGCTCAAGTAGGCGAACGCAGCAGACACATCGACCTGCTTGATGACCAGTAAAGGCCCGCCTCGGCCGTATTGATGCGTGCTGTTTCATCCAGGTGAGTGATGCAAAAAATTGAAGTCAAGTCAAACTCACCGAGAACTGACGAAGGCAATCAATCTCCAACTTGTTGGCCACCATTGCCGTGATGAGCTTGGACATCGGGACGGGACTGGCGGGTAGAAAATCGGGTGGGGCTGCGACAGTGGAGGGAGTGCGGATGGGCGGGGCTGCGACAGTGGGAGGGAGTGCGCGGACATCGGGACGGGACTGGCGGGTAGAGAATGAGGTGGGGTTGCGACAGTGGGAGGGAGTACGCCGTCGATGTCGACGACAAACTCGAGAAGGAGGAAGATGTGAGAGGAGAGAGAGAGGGAATGATGGTAAAAGGTGAAATCGGTGAGCCTTTTATATCCTCAGGCTTCGGAGCGCCCACTAAGCGAGTGACAGTAGCGGTGGATACCGCTTGACAGATGTTCTTAGGGCGGGATTCGAGTCAAGTTGGAAGATGTAAATTGTGTGGGAATGATATCGGAGCGGCAGTTCAAGACTTATAACACTAGATTCTACTGTCCCTGTGCCTATATTACTGTACTGGATGAAATTAGACTGGTTCCAGCCTCCACAAGTCCTATAATACACGTTATATGTTAAAACTGAGTTTCCGGAAACCACAAGAAATGGAGCATTGGCGAGGCTCGGAACGCCCATGGATAAAGACCTGACAGCTAGAAGACATGTGCTATGATGCTTCTGGCGCTTTGCTAAGCGCAGGGCCAGATTGCCGTTGAAACGGCAGATCAAACTAGAACATATCAACATATCAAGCACTTGCCTTGGTCTGTGAGGAAATCGGAGAGCCAAGGCAGATACGCGCTTACGTAATCAACATTTCTGTGAAGTTTCAAGGTAATCGGCGAAAAGTAGCATGCGTAGATGGCAGAAAACTGAAATTTGTGGTCCAGAGAATATACACATTTTTGATGTTATATATCGCGGGAGAACGCGTCGCTACTGGACTCAAGTGTTTACTTAATACATTTCCTCAAATTTTCCAAGCATTTGGAGCATTTCTGAGGCCGCACGTCGCGAAATACTGCGCGAATTTCCTTTTTGGTCGAGTGGTGTTGGGTCACGTGACCTCATGTTCAACAGCAATTTTGCGCGTGAATGTGCAACAAAGCCCTTTAGAATGGTCAGACTAAGACAATTTCTCTTCTGATGGGAACTATGGAAAAAGAAGTAAAAGACTGTGGGGAACGGGAAAACAGCAGCGCGCCAGCACTGCAGCATAACCACTGCTCCATTGTTCGTTTCTCCTTGCTCTTCACAGCATCATATCTGCACTAGGCCCCGTCGGCAAAATGCCAAATTTCAGTTCGCCGCTCCAGATTTGCATGTGTGCGCGGGCTTGGGTCGCCGCACCCATTCTCATTCGTCGCGCCCAAACGTACATGACGCGCCGGAGTCGGATCTCCGCTCATAGTTTGGTATCACAACGGCATTTGCTTGCCGATATCAAATTTGATGGTTTGGTGCTGGAGCTTGGGAAAGCTCCAAAAGCGGCCCAGAAGGACTGGTTTGTGTACTGGCCAGTCAAGTTTTCTGTTGTTATATAGTCCTCCATGCGCTGCAAAATTTTTGCGTGAAGACGGCATTGATGTTGATCGGAACTGTTGTGTGACACGCTTCCGTTTTCCCGTCATGTTGTCAAAATAAACTGGTCTGCCAGTTCCCCGCGACTTACGAGAAGTCTTGGCAACACTCTGCTCGACCTCAACACAGTCAAATTCAAGGTTCATCTGGCAACTCTGTGGCGGCAGCACCAGCCTTGGGTTCAATATCTTATGGTAAATATTACCGTTGTTTCTTGTGCGGTGGTTCAAGCCTTGAGATCGTAAGGTACGTTATGGAATATGTAATTCTGTGACTTGGAATCGGCGCGTGAAGGTCAAGTCACGCTGTCTACTCTTTTCTCTGTTTACCACCACCTCGACTGGTTAGTTTGTTTTCCTCGTGAGTCGTGCCAGGTTCAACAAGCTCATCCTTCCTCCAGTGTTCACTTTGAACCCAACGACTGCCATGGGTTCCGCGGCTAGCTCGTCCCGACAGGACGCGCAACGCGCTCGACAACTTGTGTAAGAGTATTGCCAACGCTGCTAAAAAACTTGTGCTGACTCCTTATACAGCCCCGACGTGTCATACGGCGCATTCACTCTGCACCACTATCAATGAAAATTGCGCAATGCCTCTGTTTGTGGCTCAACGCTGGCAGGTACGGCTTGTCTGTGCCCGTTTCGCCTGGGCTTTTGCTCATTTCCTCTCCAGGTTGAAGACATTCAGCATTGTCCAACTTGTCTCGTCGTCCGCCGCCCGCACGGCGTCCATCGTCTCCCGTCTCCCCCCTGCGATTGCCGCTTTGCTGGCCACGCTCGGCGACCCTCCGCCTTGGGTTACATCAAACCTGACCGCGTCAATCATATCGGAAGGTAAGCCCCCAGACATTAAACCTAATTTTTTGTGCTGAGTCGTTTTCCAGATCTTACACTGTTCTAGCCCCTTCCGCACCAGAGTCTCTCGCACACCAAATTCCATGTTTCGGCGGTCGATTGACGCGCGTGGCTAGCTTGCAACTATGGCCCACATTATACCTCAGGCTCTTTCGCCGTTGACATGCAGTCTCCATCCCATCTTCTGTCCTCCCGGGGCCACAACTCGCGTTCACTTTGTTTCTCGAAACGATCACGGACGCAATTTCACGTTCAACATTAACATCCACACCGATGCCCTTCACTCCCGCCACCATATTCTTTCCCCTGCCATCTCGACAGTCCAGCATGATCTCGGACTAGCAACAACTGCGCGATGCTCGTCCAGTCCCCATCCCTTCGCCAACTCCATCCGGCTCCCAATGCCTGGCGTCCATGAGTATTTCCAGGCTCAACTTGAACTCACTCCGCATCCATGCGGCATGCCGGTGCTGGCGGGCGAGCGCAATAGCCATTCGCCTACCTCAATCGAGATTTACCCGGCCCGGGCCAGTCTCTCTGTTTCGCGAGCGCCGAGCCGCATCCCGAGAGATTGCTGCGACTGCAGAGGCTCTCTCAACACGGGACGACTCGGTCACCTTCCACCACTCCTGCTCAAACGACAACACACTCGCCAACCATTCTCACTCGATCGCCTCAGGCTTCTTTCCCGGTGAAGGCAACGACTCACGCCAAACGATGCCGTCCACCTGCAACGAAGCCACTCACCATCACGGTGGTCACCTTCCCCGTTTATCATGACTCCGACAAGCGCGCGATGTCAGCCATCCTGGCCGGACGTGGCATGGCACTCACCGGCGTTGTCTTGTCGGGCTATTTCCCCCCCCCAACGTATTTGCCTGCGAACCCGAGCTCTCGGAAGCACCGCTGGACTGTGCGTGTGATGGAGTGCTCGTCGGCTGGGAACAAACTTGAAGTCATGACCGAGCACATGTCGGGCTGGCCATTGACAACGATATGCCGTCCGCCGACTTAGTCTCCCGCGGTGACCCCCAACTGTGCATTATCTCCACAACCTATGCTACGCCTCGGGTTTGATGTCTTGGCCTGGCCTTGGCGTCGGCGCCGTTGCAACCCGTGGGATGGAGGCTACAACTGCCCTCGGGAAATGCTATGTGGTCAAGTCTGCGCGTGGGACCAAGGCCGTGATTATGGCACCTGGTGAGTCATCGCCTTCATCTTTTTTTTTTTGTTGCCTTTGCTGCAATGCCTTCGGGAGGGGAGACCATGCATGGACACTGCAATAACTGCAGAATGGGAATGCCTTCCCAGAAAACGCTGGAAGTTCTTAATTAACGCGTTTAAGCCCTGAACCAGAGACTGACCATTTTCTAGCGCCAAAATAAGAATCTAACGAGGGAATGCTAAGTGCGAACTTGTGAGATTTAGCATCACGTGACCGCGTTTGGGCGGGCAGAGGAGCCGGCGCAGGAGGAGGCGCAGGAGCCTGCGGCGTGCGGCATGCGGCGTGTGTGCCGAGATGATGTATATACAAATTGATATTCGATCATTAACGAGGCGAAGGATTCGGATGTCCGCGACCGAGTGAGTCGTCTGCTGCTGTGCGACTATCCAGTAAAACATTAACGAGGCCCTGCTGCGCGATGGATTCCGGTGCAAGTTGACAGGATGCTATAATATTGCAACTTATCCCGAACTCGAGGCCCGCAGGCTTACCGATAACAAGGGCGCAGTGCTCACAATCCAGCGACAACCAGGCTGGTTCAATGCATTACTTCAGTCCTGCTGAAACTAAAACCTTTTCAGGAGGCGTATAGTGCCAGTGCTGACGCGATTCTTGAACTGTTCTGTGTTGGACATGAACAGTGGGTTGGAACCAGACTCGGAGTCCATCGGGATGCGAACCTCCTGTGCATGGACGGGAATCTCTATAGCCTCTTCAATGAAATGCTTGTGTGGCTGGAGGAAGTTAACGACCAGGCAAGAACCTCTTTACCACCAGTCTAAACAGTCTCATTCCAAGTAGCCCCACACTTACAACATCGTATCGAGTCTGCCCAACTTCTCTTCCTTCCGAAGCGTGCAACAACACCGCGTCACGTTCACCGTTGATCCAACTTTGGTCGACACGTGCAAAGAGCTGAATCAGGCCGTTCCCGAGTTGCCCTCTCCGGTCCTGTTAGCGATACGGGCAGCTTGCTGTCGTGTTGCTAACCTATCTGGAGCTCTCGAGCAGCACGACATCGTCTTACGTGAGCTGGCTCGCACTCAGACTCTTGCGCCGGACGGAGATCATGGTTCCGCGGAATTGTTGCGTATGCGTTTGGGTTCATCATTGGCTCATTAGATGTTACTTCATTACGTGCGCTTTGCCTTGTTCACAACATCCCCAAGTTCCTTGTTCTTCCTCCTTCACGAACCTACAGCGCCAGCCTGAGTGTTATTCAAGCTGACACCCACACAAGACACCCACCAATTGATATTTGACATTGAAGAACTGCATCAGTCGGTTGAGGTTTCGTTCGCGCGACGCTGAGCACTCGGACAGCTCGTATTCCCTCATAAGCTCCTGCGAGGTCGATACTAGAGCCCCTCTTCAGCCCAGGCCGCTTGTTGCCTCGACTCACCGTCCATTTCAAACAGCTCTTTCAGCGTCGATGGAAACTTGTCTGCGACCGTTCCGTCCGTCTTGTAGATCGGCTGCAGCGGTGCTGACTCGCCATCGCGAAGCATCGCATTTGCCCGCCGGTTCTCGCTGCATTAAATCAGGATAAAAAATGATGTCTGTCAGCCATGAAAACGCACGTGCGGAGATCCCTCTGGATCTCCTCCAACCATTCCTCTTGCCGCGCAACCTCGACTTGCAGCTCCTCGGGCATGTGCAGTTTCAACAGCTCTGCCACCTGGGCGGCCACCAACGCGTCTACTTGGCGTGCAATGTCTGCTTCAGCGCCGCTCTTCATGTGCTCGATGACTTCGGTGTTCAGCACCTTTCCTAGTATCACTACCAACACCGTCAGCAAAAGAACAGAACCGGGACACGCCGCAAGCACATGGATGCCCTCGCGTTGTCGCTGGTCCTGCTCTTGCAACTGCGCTCGCAGGCTAACAAGTGTTCAAGTCAACAGCAGTTTCGATGTCCCTCGCTATCTGCGGCTCTCCACCGAGCGCGGTCTAACAGAAGATTTCAATGCCGCGCAGCCTATTCGCATTCCCATAAGTGATGTAGACTACTACATTCTCGTGGTACCCCAACGCGTAAGTCCATCGTAACAAAGCTGTAAAGTAGTCAGCATGAATAACGACACGCGATTGCCTGAAACTCACCTTCGAGACAGCAGCTTTCTCTAATTCCGACCCATCTGCAGGCACCTCGATTACTTCGTTCCCGCGTCAACGTCGTCGCCAACAAGTCGAAACAACTGCAAGTCAATCAGGTATAGTACTCGCCAACATCAAGGCGACTTACGTCTCGTTGTTCTTCTCGACTCGCGGACGCTGCGCGCTACAGTTCGTCCGCAAATAGGTCTAAATAAAGGTAAACAAGTGCAGCATTAAAACAGGAACGGAAAACTTGCCTTGGACAATGGCGCCGACCAATGCGCGCCAAAACGCGCAATAGTCGATAGAAATCCACAACTGGAAAGTGGTTGGGATTGAATAACCAGACATGATGGCCCGAAAACTCACCTTCGAGACATTGTCGTCTTGAGCAATTGCGCCTTAATCAGGCGCCGACCATTCCGCGCCCAAACGCGCAAAACTCAACGCAATAGTCTGAAGTTTTGTCGGAATTGCATAACAAGACATCATGGCTCGAAAACTCACCTTCAAGACATTGACATTTTGAGCAATTGCCTCAAATCTAGTCGTTGCAGACTAGCAAACACAGTGAGCATCCACAACAAGTAGTCACGAACATACCCACACTTGCATTGCTGCTCGCTGCTCTTGAGTCCTCTCGAGCGAGCTCAATGGTGAACAGGCCTGAACCGCAAAGTAAATAAGTGTGATAGTAAGGTAAGACAGGAACTAAAAGCTTACCTTGTATTGCGGGGCCGACCATTCCAAAACCCGTTGCCCATGCTCCCAAACAAGCCCAATATTGTCTTGCGCGTTGAGCAATGGCTCGCGTTCCAGATCTATCAAGCTCTGTAAGTTACAGACTCAGATAGCGAATAACTTATTCACTTGCGCAATGCGATGCGCCTGACGGCGCATCTCTCGTGCGCTCCCCACCGCGACTCTCAGCCTGATGCGCCTAACGGCGCATTGCTCGCGTTCGCAAACGATGGCCACGAGGGGACGAGGCATGTTGATGCGAGTGCGTGACCTTCATGTCCAGGGCGTTATTCACGCCTCCGGCGGCAAAATCCTGCATAAAAATGAGTTCTCAGACGCAAAAAAATGACCAGAAAAGTGCTTACGTAAGCACTTTTTACACAAGCAAATTTACCGTCGTTTCCACCCATTTGAGCGTGTCTGCCGCGGGAAATAAGCCCTGAAATCGCAACAGAATCAAGGTAGAGACTGACCTCGGCCACCAGCCACAATGTGAGGCGCCATCTCTCGCGCTTCCGTTTGCAATGGTGTTGGCAGCGCGACTCTCGGCATGATGGCGCCTAACGGCGCATTGCTCGCATTCGCAAACGATGACGGATGAGGCATGTTGATGCGAGTGCGTGACCTTCAAGTCCAGGGCGTTATTTACGCCTCCGGCGGCAAAACCCTGCAAAAAAGTGAGTTTTTCAAGGCAAGAAATGGCGCAGAAAAAAGCTTACGTAAGCCTAGCCATGCAGGCAAATTCACCCTCGTTTTCGACGTGTCTGTGGCGAAGAATGAGCCAGAAGTGGGGATAATCAACGAGGAGACTGACCTTGGCGACAAAGCTTGTCCTCTGATCTGTGTGGGTTTGCTGACCTCTCCCGCCTGCGCCATCCAACAGCCCACCCTACTCTTGCGGTGGTCGTAACCTGCGCAGGGTCAGGGGGTATTGCTAACGACGCTTTCCTTCAATAACCTTGTTGGTAGCATGAATGAGTAACACACCTTATGACCGCAGCAAGCCGTCCTTCACTCCCTCCAATTGCAACGTGGTGGTGGTGGTGGTCCGCACTTGAAGTTGGTGAAGGATGATCGCCGAACTGCAACAAGGTAAGCACATAGGTACTCCGCGTTTTGGCCACGTACCTCGGAACCAAAGGCCGTTGCTTCTTTCTCCACAGCCAGCACCATTCCTCTTGCCCGCGTTGCCCAGTTTGAAGTCGAAGAACGCGCTGCAGAAGAACTAGTAAGCCAACAAAACAGAGAGAGTCCAAATTCGCACCTCTCAGTTCAAAAGACACGATTCCCGTAGGAAGAGGTGAGTGCTGAGCTGCAGGAGCGTAAGCAGGCAGGTGTAAATGTAGAGCCCGAAGACTGACCGTGTGTGTGTGAGGCCATAGTCGTGGTCAAAAGACAAGTCACAATTTTGTGTGTGACGGCACGCGATAATCTTAACTTCGACTTCCTCCCTAACGCCCAAGCTGTATCTGGCGAGCCGGCAAACACTCAGGCGCCATCTCAAGCTCACTCGGCTACTCAGGGCTATTCTCGCAAACATTTACGGCTACAGTCCCGCCTTATGTGCCGATTCAAGCCGGAGACGATGCCTATAGCTTGTAACAGGTGAGCTGTGGGCGGATTTCAGCAGACCAATATGGTTACCTACCCCCAAGGACGGACCGGTCCTCGGAAAAACGACAGTCTTTTGCGAAATTTGGCCCGCCATGGCCCTACTGTCCAATGCCGACCAACTCCAACAACGAACGCTGTCTGTCTGCCCCAAGCGTCGACTTTGACAATGATCGCGGTCTTCTCAAAGAGCGGGTATTAGCGCAGGAACGCGCATGTCAACACACCACAGCGACAACTCACCCGAGAATGACCCTATCTCGTCGCCTCGCTACCCCAGCCCATTCTCCACGACCACTCATGGCCAACACCACCGATGGTGATTCTAAGCAGGCGCTGACAACGACAAGCTACACGCTGCTGTCGATGACAAGAGCAGTCTCTAACTAGACCGACTTCATGGGTCGACGCCGTTTGCCTCGTCGTTGGGTAAGCCGTGCCGAAAACCTGTGAGTCGGGTCAGTCCCCATTGGCAACGTGTGAGAACGACAACTTACTTGTTGTTAAGGGCCCGAACAATGACAAGTACCAACAGCTCAACGTCTTTGGCAGTCTCGAACACAACAAGTAAACCCATAACGTTGGTCTGCAACCACGGTGAGCCTCAGTCCCGCGCCTTTACAGTTGAGCAGATCGTGACAGACGACCTCAACAACTTTTCTTCGTTGCGCTGCTGGTTGCCAACGTTATTGAGACTGCAATTCACAGCGAATTTGGCCGGGCTCTGGAAAGCATGCCGTTCAGCGTAAAGGAATGACGAGGGCGATACCAAACAACTCACCTGCGCTGTCTCGGCGGGGACAATGACGAGCTTCAGGCTGTTGTCAACGACGACAACACCAACAAGGAAACGGACTGCACAGGTCGTTGGCACTGGGGTTGACAGCACCCGACTCGTCGTTGGGGGGAAGCCTTGTTAAGAACTTGCGATTCAGGTCAGTTTGGATTGTTAATGCGGAGAACGATTACTTACTTGTTGTGAAGTGCCCGAACAACACCTTCAACGTCTTTCGCGACAACGATGGCCTCCTCAAAATCGAGTTAGCGTAAGAGCATTCGGGCGGATATCGGCAAGACACACCGTTCAAGTCAAAGTCGATCCACCCTGCCTTATCCATCAACTTCGTCTAGTGAATCCATTCCGACGCGCTCAAGTAGGCGGAGAGCGGCAACACAACGACGACCAGCAAAGGATCAGCAGCCATGACCCCATCGTGGCCTCATCTACCCAGCGGATACCTCCGTGACCACCGGCTTCAACACCCAAACCAGCTCCATGTCGGGACATCGCGAGTGCAGAGGACGGGGATTGGCGTGTAAAGAATGAGGGGGATGGTGGTGGGAGGGAGCGGACATCGATGTTGACAACGAACTCGAGAAGGAGGAAGGTGGGAGAGGAGAGAGAGAGGGAATGATGGGCAAGGTGAAATCGGTGAGCCTTTTATATCCTCAGGCTTCGGAGCGCCCACTAAGCGATGACAGCAGCGGTGGATACCGCTTGACAGATGTTCCTGGGGCGGGATTCGAGTCAAGTCGGAAGATGTAAATTGTGTGGGAATGATATCGGAGCAGTTCAAGAGGTTCTAACACTAGATTATACTGTCCCTGTGCCTATATTACTGTACTGGATGAAATTCAAGTCGTTCCAGCCACCACAAGTCCCATAATACACAATAGATGAGAAAACTGAGTTTTCGGAAACCACAAGAAATGGAGCATTGGCGAGGCTCGAACGCCCATGGATAAAGACCTGACAGCTAGCAGACATGTGCCATGATGCTTCTGGCGCGTTTGCTAAGCGCAGGGCCAGATTGCCGTTGGAAACGGCAGATCAAACCAGAACATCTAAGCATACCAAGCATTAGCGCTAGTCTGTGGGGGAATCGGAGAGTACAGGCAGATGACTACTTACGTAAGCTACATTTCTGTGAAAATTTGAGGTAATCGGCGCAGGATTACATGCGTAGATGGCAGAAAACTGAAATGTGTGGTCCAGAGAATATACAGATTTTTGAGGTTATATATCAAGGGAGAACGCGTCGCTGCTGGACTCAGGTGCTTACGTAATACATTTCCTCAAATTTTCTAAGCATTTGGAGCATTTCTGAGGCCGCACGTCGCGAAATACTGCGTGAATTTCCTTTTTGGTCGAGTGGTGTTAGGTCACGTGACCATGTTCAACAACAATTTTGCGCGTGAAAGTGCTACAAAGCCCCTACAAATGGTTAGACTAGGACAATCTCTCTTCTGGGTGGGAAGTATGGGAAAAAAGGGGAAAAGACTGTGGGGGAACGGGAAAACAGCAGCGCCAGCGCTGCAGCATAACCACTGCTCCATTAGTCCGTTTCTCACTGGGCTCCACGATATCCTTTGTGCAGCACCTCCCGTCGGCAAAACGGCAAATTCAAGTTCGCTGCTGACAATTTGCCTTGGTGCGCGGGCTTGGCTCCCCGCAAACCATTCCTACTGGCGGCGCCCAAACGTACATGGCCCGCCGGAGTCGGATCTCCGCTCATAGTTTAGTATCACAACGGCATTTGCTTGCCGATATCAAATTCAATGGTTTGGTGCAGGAGCTTGGGAAAGCTCCAAAAGCAGCCAGCCTTGGACTGGTTTGTGTATTGACCAGGGAGGTCTTTGCCGTTCTCAGTCTAAGGTTCTGCATCCACTGTAAAATTTTGTGTGAAGACGGCATTGATCTTGATCGGAACTGATGTGTGACACGCCTGCGTTTCTCCGTCATGTTGACAGCATGAACTAGCTCACCGCCTTTACGTGCGACCTTACGACAACACTTGGCAACTTGAAGCTCTCCAAGCACGCTCGCAGCCCTCCCTCTGCTTGCTGCAGAGGCCAGCCTTATCGTCAACAAACTCTGAACACGCAAAACCTGAGCAACACGCTGCCTGAAGTTCAACACTACCTTCCAGTGAACTCTGTCAACGATGTCGCTTACGCTTAGAACTTACGCCTACTTACGCGGGATGTAACATCAAGTCACACTGTCGCCCTCTTTTTCTCTGTCTACCACCACTTCTGTCTCCTCAAGCTCATTCTCACCTCCTCGAAGTCAACCAGGCATCGCTGGCAAGCCCGGGTCCTGCATCACTGTGAGTTTCATTTTCTGCTCCTTCGGGCGCTGGCTCATGGTCTCACAGCGAGCTCGCAGTCTGTACAGACTGTCTTGACGCGTTCGTTCAGTTTTCAGGCCTCACCGCGTCGTCTTTCAACACTCCCACCGCGCTTTAACCACAGTAAGTAACGTCTTGTACGGTGTAAACGACAACAACTAATATATTGTTAGACTCCCGGCTTGACGGCCATTTCGCCGCCGTTGCGCCCGCGTGCCTTCATCACCTTCAAAAGGTGCCTCTGACTCGACGCCCACCTGTCGCCATGGTCTCCCGCCATTCCCCCCATATCCCTTGACCCGGCCTCAAAGCGACAACCATGGTCATGCGCCGCCATTGTCGGCGTCTACGATCACAATCAACAGTGCCGAGGCCAAGCCTGCGCCCGCGAACAATCCATCACTCACCTTTTGCCGCGACTATGGTGGTTACCTTCGCTCGTCGTTGCAGTCAGCAAGTTGAGCGCCGCATTGCCCTTGCTTAACCGCAAAGACTCGACAACAGCCGCCATCCTTGAAGCAAGCAAATATTGCACGCGTTTGTGCTACCACTGGTCCCGGAAAGCCAGCCGCGCGATGGCTGGAACTAAGGTACGACTGAGGTCTGCATTATATTCGTGCACTTGCTAAATGCTTGACAGAATTGCTCCCCGGGCCGACCTTTTGCTGCCGTCGCCGTCATCCCCTCCCTCCCCCCGGCATCGTTGTCAACGCTTGAGCACGCGCCGCCATCATCGCTCGGCGCTATTACCCCCCCGCGTTTTCGATCAAGGCTCAAAGTTGTCATCATGGCCAACTTGGCCTCGCCGGTCTTTGCCCGGAGGATGGCCGCCTGCCCAGGACCACTTGCCCCGCGCTCGACTTGAAGTTCTGCACCTTGGCGACGAGCGCGAAGGCCATTCATTCACCAACTTCATCACCCCCTCTCCGCGTCGGCCGGTCGGCCTCGTCCGAGCCCAACGCGACTCTCCTTCCCCCGCCGTTAAGTCCGCCAAAGCCGCGCTGGCTTCAAGTCGGGTGGTGGTAAGTCTAAGCTTTTCAAGTTTCTCGTATAGCTGCTGACCGCCATTGACCAGGCCTCCCTCTACTTTCATCACGCCCATCTGACACAACACGTTGGTTGCAAATGCTCTGTACTCGACAACGGCCGCCATCTCCCCGTCTCAGCGCCACGTGCTACCCGCAAGGTTTTGCTCGCCAAGTTCATTATGGTCCGAGCTTCTTTCCCCCCACCGTCAAGTCCGCCAAAGCCGACACTGTTTGTGGTCACCTCCATGCGAGCTTCCAGTCTCACGTCTGAGCCACGACCATCGCCTATCCGGTTTCATCTTGCCGCCGCGGCCATCCCAGCTGCTGTTGAATCTCCATCGCCGGCCATCATATCTCGGGCCGTTCCCTCGACATTCTCCAAGTCCGTCAACTCCGGGCTCCATATATTGCTGCTGCCAACTCACGCGGCATTTGCGCTGGAGATAAGTAACGCTGGCCATCATGGCAATCATATCTCGGGCCTGCCAACGAGCTGTCTACTCCCTCGACAACCCCCCGACTGCAGCCTCTCCACGCCCTTCTTTATCCCACCGTGAAGTCCGACAAGCGCGTGTTGGCGATGCGGTGCCCTTGACGCCGCGACCGACTTGATCCACGCGGCCTGGCGCCAACTCTTGCCCCAGCCAGCCTGTTCCGCAAGGGATGCGTGTTTCAAGTTTATGGCATCATCCCGCGGTCGTCGCGTCCTTGGCCAGGCTCAGGAAACGAGATGCTGCTGCTGCTAGTAAGTCAATCTCTCTGTGGTTTCTTGTGTGTGTTTGCTTATTTCTTGGTCGAGAGAAATGAATTCTGGCTCCACGGTGTCAAGTCGGTCAAGTCCGTGGTCAAGGATTATGGCAGTCGGTGAGTCATCACCTTCATCTCTTTTTTTTTGTTGCCCTTGGTGCACTACCTTCGGGAGGGGAGACCACGCACGGACACTGCAATAACTGCAGAATGGGTTTCTCTTCCCAGAAAACGCGTTGGAAGTTCCTAATTAACGCGTTTAAGGCCTGAACCAGAGACTGACCATTTTCTAGCGCCAAAATAAGAATCTAACGAGGGAATGCTAAGTGCGAACTTGTGAGATTTAGCGTCACGTGACCGCGTTTGGGCGGGCAGAGGAGCCGGCGCAGGAGGAGGCGCAGGAGCCTGCGGCGTGCGGCATGCGGCGTGTGTGCCGAGATGATGTATATACAAATTGATATTCGATCATTAACGAGGCGAAGGATTCGGATGTCCGCGACCGAGTGAGTCGTCTGCTGCTGTGCGACTATCCAGTAAAACATTAACGAGGCCCTGCTGCGCGATGGATTCCGGTGCAAGTTGACAGGATGCTATAATATTGCAACTTATCCCGAACTCGAGGCCCGCAGGCTTACCGATAACAAGGGCGCAGTGCTCACAATCCAGCGACAACCAGGCTGGTTCAATGCATTACTTCAGTCCTGCTGAAACTAAAACCTTTTCAGGAGGCGTATAGTGCCAGTGCTGACGCGATTCTTGAACTGTTCTGTGTTGGACATGAACAGTGGGTTGGAACCAGACTCGGAGTCCATCGGGATGCGAACCTCCTGTGCATGGACGGGAATCTCTATAGCCTCTTCAATGAAATGCTTGTGTGGCTGGAGGAAGTTAACGACCAGGCAAGAACCTCTTTACCACCAGTCTAAACAGTCTCATTCCAAGTAGCCCCACACTTACAACATCGTATCAAGTCTGCCCAACTTCTCTTCCTTCCGAAGCGTGCAACAACACCGCGTCACGTTCACCGTTGATCCAACTTTGGTCGACACGTGCAAAGAGCTGAATCAGGCCGTTCCCGAAGTTGCCCTCTCCGGTCCTGTTAGCGATACGGGCAGCTTGCTGTCGTGTTGCTAACCTATCTGGAGCTCTCGAGCAGCACGACATCGTCTTACGCGAGCTGGCTCGCACTCAGACTCTTGCGCCGGACGGAGATCATGGTTCCAGGGAATTGTTGCGTATGCGTTTGGGTTCATCATTGGCTCATTAGATGTTACTTCATTACGTGCGCTTTGCCTTGTTCACAACATCCCCAAGTTCCTTGTTCTTCCTCCTTCACGAACCTACAGCGCCAGCCTGAGTGTTATTCAAGCTGACACCCACACAAGACACCCACCAATTGATATTTGACATTGAAGAACTGCATCAGTCGGTTGAGGTTTCGTTCGCGTGACGCTGAGCACTCGGACAGCTCGTATTCCCTCATAAGCTCCTGCGAGGTCGATACTAGAGCCCCTCTTCAGCCCAGGCCGCCGTTGCCTCGACTCACCGTCCATTTCAAACAGCTCTTTCAGCGTCGATGGAAACTTGTCTGCGACCGTTCCGTCCATCTTGTAGATCGGCTGCAGCGGTGCTGACTCGCCATCGCGAAGCATCGCATTTGCCCCGCCGGTTCTCGCTGCATTAAAGCAGGATAAAAAATGATGTCTGTCAGCCATGAAAACGCACACAGTGCGGAGATCCCTCTGGACCTCCTCCAACCATTCCTCTTGCCGCGCAACCTCGACTTGCAGCTCCTCGGGCATGTGCACTTTCAACAGCTCTGCCACCTGGGCGGCCACTAACACGTCTACTTGGCGTGCAATGTCTGCTTCAGCGCCGCTCTTCATGTGCTCGATGACTTCGCACCTTTCCTAGTATCACTACCAACGCCGTCAGCAAAAGAACAGAACCGGGACACGCCGCAAGCACATGGATGCCCTCGCGTTGTCGCTGGTCCTGCTCTTGCAACTGCGCCGCAGGCTAACAAGTGTTCAAGTCAACAGCAGTTTCGATGTCCCTCGCTATCTGCGGCTCTCCACCGAGCGGTCTAACAGGTCGAAGATTTCAATGCCGCGCAGCCTATTCGCATTCCCATAAGTGATGTAGACTACTACATTCTCGTGGTACCCCAACGCGTAAGTCCATCGTAACAAAACTGTAAAGTAGTTAGCATGAATAACGACACGCGATTGCCTGAAAACTCACCTTCGAGACATCTAACTCATCTCCAAACGCCTACTTTTCGCCCCCACGCTCCTCGATTACTTCATTCTCGCGTCCACGTCGTCGCACAACAAGGAGGTGATACTGCAAGTCAATCAGATATTGAACTCGCCAACATTGAGACGACTTACGATCGTTGTTCTTCTCGACTCGCAGGCGCGTCCAACACACCTCGTCCGCAAATAGGTCTGAATCAAGGTATACAAATGCAGCATTAAAACAGGAACGGAAAACTTGCCTTGGACAATGGCGCCGACCTTTCCGCGCCAAAACGCGCAAAACTCAACGATATAGTTGATTGAAATCCACAACTATAAAGTTATTGGGATTCAATAACAAGACGGCCCGAAAACTCACCTTGACGTTCTGAGCAATTGCGCCTCCATCACAGACAACTCCGACGCGTCGAAAATCAAGTCGGAGCAGACTAGCAAACACAGTCAGCATCCACAACAAGTAGTAACAAACACACACTTTTAAAAAGCACCATACTCGCATCGCAACTCCGACGAAATCAGACTAGCAAACACAGTCAGCATCCACAACAAGTCGCAACAAACACACACGCACACTTTTGAAAGCTCCATACTCGCATCGCTGTTCGCTGCTGTCAAGTCCTCTCGACCGCGCTTTCAGCTCAATGGCAAAAAGGTCTGAACCGAAGTAAATAAGTGCAATAGTAAGACAAAAACTAAAAGCTTACGTTGTATTGCGGCACCGACCATTCCAAAACCCATTGCCCAGGCTCCCAATGTTGTCTTGCGCGTTGAGCAGTCGTTCCATATCTGTCGAGCTCTTTAGATTACAGACTCCGATAGCGAATAATTTACTCACTTCCGCAATGTGCGGCACCTCTCGCGCGTTCCCCGCCGCGCTTTCAATCGATGTTGGTATTGGCGGTGCGACTCTCCGCCTGATCGCCTAACGGCGCATTGAGACGACTTCGTTCCCATCGCCAACGTGTCGAAAATCAAGTCCTTGAAGACTACCAAACACAGTCAGCATCCACAACAAGTAGTAACAAACACACACTTTTAAAAGCACCATACTCGCATCGCTGTTCGCTGAGTCCTCTCAACCGTGCTTTACAGCGAGTGAGCTCAATGGCGAACAGGTCTGAACGGAAGTAAACAAGTGCAATAGGAAGACAGGAACTAAAAGCTTACCTTGTATTGCAGCGCCGACCATTCCAAAACCCGTTGCCCATGCTCCCAAACAAGCCCAATGTTCTCTTGCGCGTTGAGCAGTGGCTCGCGTTCCATATCTGTTGAGCTGTTTAGATTACAGGCTCCAGCAGATAACGAATAACTCACTCACTTCCACAATGTGATGCGCCTGACGGCGCATTTCTCGCACGCTTCCCCCCGCAACTCTCAGCCTGATGCGCCTAACGGCGCATTGCTCGCGTTCGCAAACGATGGCCACCAGGGGATGGAGTATGTTGATGCGAGTGCGTGACCTCTGAGTCCAGCGCGTTATTCACGCCTCCGGCGGCAAAATCCTGCGTAAAAATGAGTTCTCAGACGCAAAAAATGAGCGTGAAAGTGCTTACGTAAGCACCGTTACTCGAGCGAATTCACCGTCGTTTCCACCCATTTGAGCGTGTCTGCCACGGGAAATGAGCCCTGAATCGCAACAGAATCAAGGTAAATACTGACCACTTACTAGTCACAACGTGAGGCGCCATCCCTCGCGCTCGCGCTCCCGTTTGCAATCGATGTTGGTGTTGGCGGCGCGACTCTCAGGATGATGCGCCGCATGCCTCGCGTTCGCAAGCGACGGAGGCCACCAGAGGACAAGATATGTTGATGCGAGTGCGTGACTTTCAAGTCCAGGGCGTTATTTATGCCTCCGGCGGCAAAATCCTGCAAAAAAGTGAGGTTTAAAACGGAAAAAAAAGTGTCCCAGAAAGCGCTTACGTAAGCGTAGTGATACAAGCAAATTCACCGTCCTTTTCGCGCATTTGGGGCTATCTGCCACGGGAAATGAGCTAGAATCGCAACATAATCAAGGCAGAGACTGACCTTGTTGGCTTGGCAGAAGGCTTTCGAGGCCTATGGTGGAGGGCGGGTTCGTTCAGTAAAGGCTCGTGTGCTGCCTTGATGAAGGAATTGGAGCAAGACTGCGTTGAGCTTTTCAATAAAGTCGTTTATAGCATGAACGAGCAACGCACCTTATGGCAGCAGCGGCTATGAGTCCCCAACCAGCCTTCACTCCCTCTAATTGGAACGTGGTGGTGGTGGTAGTGAAGGATGCTGGAAGAAGGTAAGCACACTCCGCCGTTGTCAATATGGTTTAGCCACGTACCTCGAGCCAAAAAGAAAACCGCTACTCGTTGCTCTACAGCCCTATTCCCACCCGTGCCCATCGACAGCGTTGCCCAGGTTGAAGTCGAAGAACGCTGCTGCAGAAGACTTGAGTCAACAAAACAGAGAGGGCATAACTTGAAATCCGCACCTCTCGCTTCAAAAGACCTGATTCGCGAGTGCTGAGCTGCAGAACGGTCAGCAAGCAGGTGTGAGTGTATAGCCGGAAGACGGACTGTGTGTCGGAAGCCAAAGGAAAGACTGTCATGGTCGAAAGACAAGTCACGAATTTTGTGTGACGGCACGCGATAATCTTGACTTTGACTTCCTCCTTGACGCCCCAGCTATATCTGGCAAGCCGGCAAGCACTCAGGCGCTGTCTCAAGCTCTCACGGCCACTCAGTGCCGTCCTCAACTAAGTCTACAGCTACGACAGCAAAAATCCCGCTTCTTATGTGTCGATTCAAGCCGGAGACGATGTGAGTCTTGCGGTAGCTTGAAATAGGTGAGTTTTAGGCGAATTATAGCGGACCAATATGCTCACTTATCCCCCAAACGGACTGGACTCCCGGCAACGATGGCCTTTTGTGAAACTCGGCCCGCAATTGCGCCAGGGTCAAATGCCGAAAACAGAAGGGAAACGCCGACCACCACTACGACAGCGGTCTTCCAACGGCGACAACTCGCTAGCCGCTAGAGGCGGGGACAACGACCAGCAAGGTCTTCTCGAGGAGTCATTGGCGCGAAAATGCATGACAACAGCGACAACTCACGACCATCTCCCCCCATTCATTCACCACGACCGCCAACCCAACGGCTATTCCTAACAAACGGGGCAACGACTAAAGCGTGTTGCTACTGAGTTGACGCCATTGAACTCGTCGTTGGAAAGCCATGCAAGTAACTTGCACGTCAGGTCAGTCCAGACCGTCAATGTAGAGAACGACAACTTACTCGTTCTGAAGGGCACGAACAACGGCTTTAACCTCTTTGGCAACAACGATGGCAGTGGCTCTGCCTCGCCCGCCGTCGTTTACGACCGCTAAGATTCAAGTTAGCACAAGAACACTAGGCGGATAGCGGCAAGACAGTCAATCCTCAACGCCGTCGGGCCAGTAACGAACTCGCGACCGTCAACCGCCTACTGCCCGATTCCAATTAAATTTGTGCTGACTTCGGGGCGGGAGCGGGCTAGTGGTGAATGGATGGGGGGTGATGATGAAGATGGCGGAGTCCTTCCTAGCGACAACGCCTGCGTTTCGAGAATGGGGGAGGGAATAATGGTTGGGGAAGCACTCTGCGAGTCAGGTCAGTCCAGGCCGTCAATGTGGATAGCGACAACTTACTCGTTGAACGACATGAACCTCTTTGGCAACAACGATGGCCCCGCCCGCCGTCGTCTACGACCACCAACACCTACTAAGATTCAAGTTAGCAAAAGAACACTCGGCGAATAGCGGCAAGACACACCGTCAAAGCCAAACCCCGAATACGGCCATCTACCTCGCCTCGTGAATCATTCCGGCGCGCTCAAGTAGGCGAACGCAGCAGACACATCGACCTGCTTGATGACCAGTAAAGGCCCGCCTCGGCCGTATTGATGCGTGCTGTTTCATCCAGGTGAGTGATGCAAAAAATTGAAGTCAAGTCAAACTCACCGAGAACTGACGAAGGCAATCAATCTCCAACTTGTTGGCCACCATTGCCGTGATGAGCTTGGACATCGGGACGGGACTGGCGGGTAGAAAATCGGGTGGGGCTGCGACAGTGGAGGGAGTGCGGATGGGCGGGGCTGCGACAGTGGGAGGGAGTGCGACATCGGGACGGGACTGGCGGGTAGAGAATGAGGTGGGGTTGCGACAGTGGGAGGGAGTACGCCGTCGATGTCGACGACAAACTCGAGAAGGAGGAAGATGTGAGAGGAGAGAGAGAGGGAATGATGGTAAAAGGTGAAATCGGTGAGCCTTTTATATCCTCAGGCTTCGGAGCGCCCACTAAGCGAGTGACAGTAGCGGTGGATACCGCTTGACAGATGTTCTTAGGGCGGGATTCGAGTCAAGTTGGAAGATGTAAATTGTGTGGGAATGATATCGGAGCGGCAGTTCAAGACTTATAACACTAGATTCTACTGTCCCTGTGCCTATATTACTGTACTGGATGAAATTAGACTGGTTCCAGCCTCCACAAGTCCTATAATACACGTTATATGTTAAAACTGAGTTTCCGGAAACCACAAGAAATGGAGCATTGGCGAGGCTCGGAACGCCCATGGATAAAGACCTGACAGCTAGAAGACATGTGCTATGATGCTTCTGGCGCGTTTGCTAAGCGCAGGGCCAGATTGCCGTTGGAAACGGCAGATCAAACTAGAACATATCAACATATCAAGCACTTGCCTTGGTCTGTGAGGAAATCGGAGAGCCAAGGCAGATACGCGCTTACGTAATCAACATTTCTGTGAAGTTTCAAGGTAATCGGCGAAAAGTAGCATGCGTAGATGGCAGAAAACTGAAATTTGTGGTCCAGAGAATATACACATTTTTGATGTTATATATCGCGGAGAACGTCGCTACTGGACTCAAGTGTTTACTTAATACATTTCCTCAAATTTTCCAAGCATTTGGAGCATTTCTGAGGCCGCACGTCGCGAAAATACTGCGCGAATTTCCTTTTTGGTCGAGTGGTGTTGGGTCACGTGACCTCATGTTCAACAGCAATTTTGCGCGTGAATGTGCAACAAAGCCCTTTAGAATGGTCAGACTAAGACAATTTCTCTTCTGATGGGAACTATGGAAAAAGAAGTAAAAGACTGTGGGGAACGGGAAAACAGCAGCGCGCCAGCACTGCAGCATAACCACTGCTCCATTGTTCGTTTCTCCTTGCTCTTCACAGCATCATATCTGCACTAGGCCCCGTCGGCAAAATGCCAAATTTCAGTTCGCCGCTCCAGATTTGCATGTGTGCGCGGGCTTGGGTCGCCGCACCCATTCTCATTCGTCGCGCCCAAACGTACATGACGCGCCGGAGTCGGATCTCCGCTCATAGTTTGGTATCACAACGGCATTTGCTTGCCGATATCAAATTTGATGGTTTGGTGCTGGAGCTTGGGAAAGCTCCAAAAGCGGCCCAGAAGGACTGGTTTGTGTACTGGCCAGTCAAGTTTTCTGTTGTTATATAGTCCTCCATGCGCTGCAAAATTTTGCGTGAAGACGGCATTGATGTTGATCGGAACTGTTGTGTGACACGCTTCCGTTTTCCCGTCATGTTGTCAAAATAAACTGGTCTGCCAGTTCCCCGCGACTTACGAGAAGTCTTGGCAACACTCTGCTCGACCTCAACACAGTCAAATTCAAGGTTCATCTGGCAACTCTGTGGCGGCAGCACCAGCCTTGGGTTCAATATCTTATGGTAAATATTACCGTTGTTTCTTGTGCGGTGGTTCAAGCCTTGAGATCGTAAGGTACGTTATGGAATATGTAATTCTGTGACTTGGAATCGGCGCGTGAAGGTCAAGTCACGCTGTCTACTCTTTTCTCTGTTTACCACCACCTCGACTGGTTAGTTTGTTTTCCTCGTGAGTCGTGCCAGGTTCAACAAGCTCATCCTTCCTCCAGTGTTCACTTTGAACCCAACGACTGCCATGGGTTCCGCGGCTAGCTCGTCCCGACAGGACGCGCAACGCGCTCGACAACTTGTGTAAGAGTATTGCCAACGCTGCTAAAAAACTTGTGCTGACTCCTTATACAGCCCCGACGTGTCATACGGCGCATTCACTCTGCACCACTATCAATGAAAATTGCGCAATGCCTCTGTTTGTGGCTCAACGCTGGCAGGTACGGCTTGTCTGTGCCCGTTTCGCCTGGGCTTTTGCTCATTTCCTCTCCAGGTTGAAGACATTCAGCATTGTCCAACTTGTCTCGTCGTCCGCCGCCCGCACGGGCGTCCATCGTCTCCCCGTCTCCCCCCTGCGATTGCCGCTTTGCTGGCCACGCTCGGCGACCCTCCGCCTTGGGTTACATCAAACCTGACCGCGTCAATCATATCGGAAGGTAAGCCCCCAGACATTAAACCTAATTTTTTGTGCTGAGTCGTTTTCCAGATCTTACACTGTTCTAGCCCCTTCCGCACCAGAGTCTCTCGCACACCAAATTCCATGTTTCGGCGGTCGATTGACGCGCGTGGCTAGCTTGCAACTATGGCCCACATTATACCTCAGGCTCTTTCGCCGTTGACATGCAGTCTCCATCCCATCTTCTGTCCTCCCGGGGCCACAACTCGCGTTCACTTTGTTTCTCGAAACGATCACGGACGCAATTTCACGTTCAACATTAACATCCACACCGATGCCCTTCACTCCCGCCACCATATTCTTTCCCCCTGCCATCTCGACAGTCCAGCATGATCTCGGACTAGCAACAACTGCGCGATGCTCGTCCAGTCCCCATCCCTTCGCCAACTCCATCCGGCTCCCAATGCCTGGCGTCCATGAGTATTTCCAGGCTCAACTTGAACTCACTCCGCATCCATGCGGCATGCCGGTGCTGGCGGGCGAGCGCGCAATAGCCATTCGCCTACCTCAATCGAGATTTACCCGGCCCGGGCCAGTCTCTCTGTTTCGCGAGCGCCGAGCCGCATCCCGAGAGATTGCTGCGACTGCAGAGGCTCTCTCAACACGGGACGACTCGGTCACCTTCCACCACTCCTGCTCAAACGACAACACACTCGCCAACCATTCTCACTCGATCGCCTCAGGCTTCTTTCCCGGTGAAGGCAACGACTCACGCCAAACGATGCCGTCCACCTGCAACGAAGCCACTCACCATCACGGTGGTCACCTTCCCCGTTTATCATGACTCCGACAAGCGCGCGATGTCAGCCATCCTGGCCGGACGTGGCATGGCACTCACCGGCGTTGTCTTGTCGGGCTATTTCCCCCCCCACCCCAACGTATTTGCCTGCGAACCCGAGCTCTCGGAAGCGCCGCTGGACTGTGCGTGTGATGGAGTGCTCGTCGGCTGGGAACAAACTTGAAGTCATGACCGAGCACATGTCGGGCTGGCCATTGACAACGATATGCCGTCCGCCGACTTAGTCTCCCGCGGTGACCCCCAACTGTGCATTATCTCCACAACCTATGCTACGCCTCGGGTTTGATGTCTTGGCCTGGCCTTGGCGTCGGCGCCGTTGCAACCGCGGGATGGAGGCTACAACTGCCCTCGGGAAATGCTATGTGGTCAAGTCTGCGCGTGGGACCAAGGCCGTGATTATGGCACCTGGTGAGTCATCGCCTTCATCTTTTTTTTTTGTTGCCTTTGCTGCAATGCCTTCGGGAGGGGAGACCATGCATGGACACTGCAATAACTGCAGAATGGGAATGCCTTCCCAGAAAACGCGTTGGAAGTTCTTAATTAACGCGTTTAAGCCCTGAACCAGAGACTGACCATTTTCTAGCGCCAAAATAAGAATCTAACGAGGGAATGCTAAGTGCGAACTTGTGAGATTTAGCATCACGTGACCGCGTTTGGGCGGGCAGAGGAGCCGGCGCAGGAGGAGGCGCAGGAGCCTGCGGCGTGCGGCATGCGGCGTGTGTGCCGAGATGATGTATATACAAATTGATATTCGATCATTAACGAGGCGAAGGATTCGGATGTCCGCGACCGAGTGAGTCGTCTGCTGCTGTGCGACTATCCAGTAAAACATTAACGAGGCCCTGCTGCGCGATGGATTCCGGTGCAAGTTGACAGGATGCTATAATATTGCAACTTATCCCGAACTCGAGGCCCGCAGGCTTACCGATAACGAGGGCGCAGTGCGCACACATTTTCTCACAATCCAGCGACAACCAGGCTGGTTCAATGCATTAATTCAGTCCTGCTGAAACTAAAACCTTTTCAGGAGGCGTATAGTGCCAGTGCTGACGCGATTCTTGAACTGTTCTGTGTTGGACATGAACAGTGGGTTGGAACCAGACTCGGAGTCCATCGGGATGCGAACCTCCTGTGCATGGACGGGAATCTCTATAGCCTCTTCAATGAAATGCTTGTGTGGCTGGAGGAAGTTAACGACCAGGCAAGAACCTCTTTACCACCAGTCTAAACAGTCTCATTCCAAGTAGCCCCACACTTACAACATCGTATCGAGTCTGCCCAACTTCTCTTCCTTCCGGAAGCGTGCAACAACACCGCGTCACGTTCACCGTTGATCCAACTTTGGTCGACACGTGCAAAGAGCTGAATCAGGCCGTTCCCGAGTTGCCCTCTCCGGTCCTGTTAGCGATACGGGCAGCTTGCTGTCGTGTTGCTAACCTATCTGGAGCTCTCGAGCAGCACGACATCGTCTTACGCGAGCTGGCTCGCACTCAGACTCTTGCGCCGGACGGAGATCATGGTTCCGCGGAATTGTTGCGTATGCGTTTGGGTTCATCATTGGCTCATTAGATGTTACTTCATTACGTGCGCTTTGCCTTGTTCACAACATCCCCAAGTTCCTTGTTGTTCCTCCTTCACGAACCTACAGCGCCAGCCTGAGTGTTATTCAAGCTGACACCCACACAAGACACCCACCAATTGATATTTGACATTGAAGAACTGCATCAGTCGGTTGAGGTTTCGTTCGCGCGACGCTGAGCACTCGGACAGCTCGTATTCCCTCATAAGCTCCTGCGAGGTCGATACTAGAGCCCCTCTTCAGCCCAGGCCGCTTCGTTGCCTCGACTCACCGTCCATTTCAAACAGCTCTTTCAGCGTCGATGGAAACTTGTCTGCGACCGTTCCGTCCGTCTTGTAGATCGGCTGCAGCGGTGCTGACTCGCCATCGCGAAGCATCGATTTTGCCCGCCGGTTCTCGCTGCATTAAATCAGGATAAAAAATGATGTCTGTCAGCCATGAAAACGCATGAATTGCGGAGATCCCTCTGGATCTCCTCCAACCATTCCTCTTGCCGCGCAACCTCGACTTGCAGCTCCTCGGGCATGTGCAGTTTCAACAGCTCTGCCACCTGGGCGGCCACCAACGCGTCTACTTGGCGTGCAATGTCTGCTTCAGCGCCGCTCTTCATGTGCTCGATGACTTCGGTGTTCAGCACCTTTTCTAGTATCACTACCAACACCGTCAGCAAAAGAACAGAACCGGGACACGCCGCAAGCACATGGATGCCCTCGCGTTGTCGCTGGTCCTGCTCTTGCAACTGCGCTCGCAGGCTAACAAGTGTTCAAGTCAACAGCAGTTTCGATGTCCCTCGCTATCTGCGGCTCTCCACCGAGCGCCGGTCTAACAGAAGATTTCAATGCCGCGCAGCCTATTCGCATTCCCATAAGTGATGTAGACTACTACATTCTCGTGGTACCCCAACGCGTAAGTCCATCGTAACAAAGCTGTAAAGTAGTCAGCATGAATAACGACACGCGATTGCCTGAAACTCACCTTCGAGACAGCAGCTTTCTCTAATTCCGACCCATCTGCAGGCACCTCGATTACTTCGTTCCCGCGTCAACGTCGTCGCCAACAAGTCGAAACAACTGCAAGTCAATCAGGTATAGTACTCGCCAACATCAAGGCGACTTACGTCTCGTTGTTCTTCTCGACTCGCGGACGCTGCGCGCTACAGTTCGTCCGCAAATAGGTCTAAATAAAGGTAAACAAGTGCAGCATTAAAACAGGAACGGAAAACTTGCCTTGGACAATGGCGCCGACCAATGCGCGCCAAAAACGCGCAATAGTCGATAGAAATCCACAACTGGAAAGTGGTTGGGATTGAATAACCAGACATGATGGCCCGAAAACTCACCTTCGAGACATTGTCGTCTTGAGCAATTGCGCCTTAATCAGGCGCCGACCATTCCGCGCCCAAACGCGCAAAACTCAACGCAATAGTCTGAAGTTTTGTCGGAATTGCATAACAAGACATCATGGCTCGAAAACTCACCTTCAAGACATTGACATTTTGAGCAATTGCCTCAAATCTAGTCGTTGCAGACTAGCAAACACAGTGAGCATCCACAACAAGTAGTCACGAACATACCCACACTTGCATTGCTGCTCGCTGCTCTTGAGTCCTCTCGAGCGAGCTCAATGGTGAACAGGCCTGAACCGCAAAGTAAATAAGTGTGATAGTAAGGTAAGACAGGAACTAAAAGCTTACCTTGTATTGCGGGGCCCGACCATTCCAAAACCCGTTGCCCATGCTCCCAAACAAGCCCAATATTGTCTTGCGCGTTGAGCAATGGCTCGCGTTCCAGATCTATCAAGCTCTGTAAGTTACAGACTCAGATAGCGAATAACTTATTCACTTGCGCAATGCGATGCGCCTGACGGCGCATCTCTCGTGCGCTCCCCACCGCGACTCTCAGCCTGATGCGCCTAACGGCGCATTGCTCGCGTTCGCAAACGATGGCCACGAGGGGACGAGGCATGTTGATGCGAGTGCGTGACCTTCATGTCCAGGGCGTTATTCACGCCTCCGGCGGCAAAATCCTGCATAAAAATGAGTTCTCAGACGCAAAAAAATGACCAGAAAAGTGCTTACGTAAGCACTTTTTACACAAGCAAATTTACCGTCGTTTCCACCCATTTGAGCGTGTCTGCCGCGGGAAATAAGCCCTGAAATCGCAACAGAATCAAGGTAGAGACTGACCTCGGCCACCAGCCACAATGTGAGGCGCCATCTCTCGCGCTTCCGTTTGCAATGGTGTTGGCAGCGCGACTCTCGGCATGATGCGCCTAACGGCGCATTGCTCGCATTCGCAAACGATGACGGATGAGGCATGTTGATGCGAGTGCGTGACCTTCAAGTCCAGGGCGTTATTTACGCCTCCGGCGGCAAAACCCTGCAAAAAAGTGAGTTTTTCAAGGCAAGAAATGGCGCAGAAAAAAGCTTACGTAAGCCTAGCCATGCAGGCAAATTCACCCTCGTTTTCGACGTGTCTGTGGCGAAGAATGAGCCAGAAGTGGGGATAATCAACGAGGAGACTGACCTTGGCGACAAAGCTTGTCCTCTGATCTGTGTGGGTTTGCTGACCTCTCCCGCCTGCGCCATCCAACAGCCCACCCTACTCTTGCGGTGGTCGTAACCTGCGCAGGGTCAGGGGGTATTGCTAACGACGCTTTCCTTCAATAACCTTGTTGGTAGCATGAATGAGTAACACACCTTATGACCGCAGCAAGCCGTCCTTCACTCCCTCCAATTGCAACGTGGTGGTGGTGGTGGTCCGCACTTGAAGTTGGTGAAGGATGATCGCCGAACTGCAACAAGGTAAGCACATAGGTACTCCGCGTTTTGGCCACGTACCTCGGAACCAAAGGCCGTTGCTTCTTTCTCCACAGCCAGCACCATTCCTCTTGCCCGCGTTGCCCAGTTTGAAGTCGAAGAACGCGCTGCAGAAGAACTAGTAAGCCAACAAAACAGAGAGAGTCCAAATTCGCACCTCTCAGTTCAAAAGACACGATTCCCGAGCCCTAGTAGTAGATATTTGCAAAATATCCCTGACAGTTGCCAGGGGTTTTGATTGCAACAACCGTGGCTCATACCAGCCCCTGGCAATAGCCAGTCCATGAATGCTTCGCTCTTGGGACGGCTTCCACCTGGCAATCAGTTACTGCGACCAGCGGCTTGGGCGGCATCAAGCCTACCTATTCACTCCACATTCGACACCAAAGTCACCCTCTTTTAGTTAGTTGGCACGTGTGTGACACTCGTGGAGGACGAACGCCTCTGCTTCTGCGTTAGGCGGCTCGCCGCCTAAGGCAGCCAAGCGGCGACGCACTTCGCTTCTGTCTCAGGCGGCGACAGACTCTGGACCAATTGTCGCCAACGTGTTCCCTCCGAGTCTACACATCTACACACCAGTCGGATCCTGAGGCAACTGTTCAAGTCCTACTGTTTATACCAACAAGTCAATGCTGGTGCGTCCTCAACCTTATCTCTTTCTACTCTCAAATTTCCTAGTTTCCTATGTAGGGCATTTCGGTTTCAACATTTCATGTGTTTCAGCGTCGGCCTTGGCGGAGATGCCTCCGCATGATTCAAGTTTTTCTGACTCCGACAAATTCTTGGACTCCCACCAACTCCCACCATCGACAATACCATCGATGGCTCCCCTTCAACCCCCCGTCGCATGCTTGGGGTTTCTTGGACCACAACATATTTCCAACTCTTCCTCGCCTCTGTCTCCCTTGCCTGTTCATTTCCTCGCTCTTTCTAATCCTTCCCCCAGCCTGGTCATCCAAAATGCCGCGCCTTCGCGGTCTACGACTACTCCGGCGCCGTCCAGCACTTCATCATCCCTTTGGATGATCAAAAGTCCCCCACGATTCGCGACCAAGCTCCCATTTTACGAAACTTTTGGCAAGTCCCACCCCTCGGGTGCGACGACTGTCACCGACTTCTCCCCACTGCCATTTCCCCCCGACGACATCGCGTACACTTTCCTCGAACGCTGCATCCATCCATCTCATCGAGCAGCGATGCTTGAAGCCAATGACCAGGAAGATTTTGAAGATTCTGATGACGACAGCGACCATGCACACAGCGAACCGGAGGAACAAGACGACCGCGCCTTTAATCTCGCCACGGCGCATCACACAAGAGGTTGGGCACAATCCCATTCGGGGTAACCTCGTGGTGGTCAAGCACCGTATGGTCAATCCACTTCCCGACAGTGTCATGGATATGGAGATCGTTGATATTGAGGAGGATGACTTCTCAGTCATCTGGGGCTTGATATTCAGGTGTGTCTCCTCGGCCTCAGTGCTGTTTGTTGCTCCAGCTAACGCACCAATATAGATACATTGTCGGTGATTACAACCCGACGTCCCCTTGGCAGGAGGAGTCCAAGGAATTTCTGCCCTCTCCTTTCACCATTCACCGCCTGGGACAGCGCAAGGCTTGACAGTTGCATTCGAGGCGAATCTATTCTATATATGCACGCGTGTCTTTCTTTGCTTTGAAATGCAATTTTTTTTTTTTTCATGTCTTTCTTGCTTTGGTTAATGCGGATAATTTTTTTACTAGTTACACACATAAGATCTATTAACAAAACGAACAATGCGTGGCATGTAGAGTTCATGGTGGTAGGTTGCCGAAAGGCACAAACCTCAAGGGGCGTCCCTGCCGTTTCAGCCATTTACGCACACCCTGTGCAAGCGCTACTATCTCCACAGCCTCCAATCCTTTGCCCTCGTAGCCCCTGATGCGGAGCGATCTCGCAAATGCTGGCTTGAAAGGTGCGGGAACAACGAATCAGCCACCTGCACCACCAGCGAGAATGACCACCCCCCAAATTCCTCAAATGCTCCAAAGTTTTTCCAATCCCACGCGGCGAAAAGCTTGAGTCGGTCTCGCAGGTCCACTGTTGGTTTGAGTGAACCAAGGAAATCAGCGAATGCTGGATCGAAGCCAGCAGGGAGGACTTGAGCTTCAATGTTTTCAAAGACCCATTCGCGCTCTTCAGCGTCGATTTGGAAGGCGACGGCTAGAATTTCGATGTAGTTGAGCCAGCCGGGGTGATCATCCTCGAGGAGACTTTTGGGTCTAGTTCTCCCAAAAAGTACTCTGAGTGCTTCTATCGGTCGTCTTCATCCCACGACTTCAGCCGCATTAAATCCTTCACAGTTCGGAAATCTTGGGAGACAAATAGGTCGAGTTTGTCGGACAGGTCAAACCCCGATAGGTGGTGCAGAAAGTCGTTCAAGGAGATAGAAGAGACAGCAGCTGCGTCGTCGACATCGACGTCTCCGAGAACAAAAACAGCTTCGACGCCTTCGACGGCAAAAACAGCTTCGACGCCTCCAGCAACACCTTCGTCCATTGAACCGCAGGCTTCCATGG